TACAATATAATACTTCTTTCGTTTCACATAAAATGATTTTTTTTTTTTAATTTTCGTCCAACTAATATAATTTATTACTATATTTTTTTTAAAAAAAATGGTATACACTTTAATTATATTTTAAATTTTATGATTTATAAATTTTTAATTTTAATTAAATTAATTTATAATTATCTTTACTAATATATTTTTTAATTACTTACTAATTAAATTTTACCTAAAATATCGTATCTATAGTAATATTGACATATTACCTTAAACGAATGAAGTATTATCTATAATACTCCCTTCGTTCAGTGCTAAACTTCTCATTTTCTATTTTAGTATGTCTAAATCAAAATTTTCTATTTTTTTTTTAAGAAAAAATAGTTCTTAACTAAAGATTAATATATCCATTTTTTTATATTATTTTTTAAGAATAAAATAGATATTACATTACTTTTAATAGTTATGTATTTATAAAATACTAATACTATTAAAAATTATTCTTAGAAAAACAAACAAACATCTTAGTCCACAAAGGAGTATAAAATTCATCACACAAATCTCAGCAGCACTGAATGCTGACTCACATACGTAATGTAACAATTATATATTCCCTAGGTCCCATATACTATGTCCATGTTCCGTTTCTGTCCGTCCCACATATTATGTCACTTTTTTTTTTTGGAAAATGATTACACACTTTAATTTTTTTTTAATTTTAATTAAACTAATTAGTTATCTTAATCTTAATTTATAATTATTTATATTCTAGAATAATTATTTTCACCAAAACATTCTTAATTATCTACTAATTACACCCCTACTAAAATACCGTGTCTACAGTGTAGCAGACACGGACGAATAGAGTAAAAAATAAAGGATAGTTTTCCTAATCGAATCGGAACCGTTCACGACTGGGCCCCACACTATGAACGGTAAAGATCATATCCGGATCCCGGATCCTGGGACCGTCGAAGAATCGTATAAGAAGGATATGGACACAAGCAGCCCACCTCTATCAATTGTGCACCAAGTCATATTTTCTAAAATAATTAAATTTATTTGTCCTATGTCGAAATTTATTTATTTATTTTATTATTTTGATGGGTTTATTAATTGATTTTATTTTTTAATAATTGTATTAAAAAATATTTGTATAAACCCACAATATATGTATAAAGTATATATAGCCACAATAATCCAAGTCATATAAAAAATAAAGGATAGTTTTAAGTGTATATATGCATATATATATATATATTTAATAGTTTTAAAACAAACAATTTGTCACATATATTTTTTTTTTATTAATTTGTCACTTTTTTCTAAATTTTTTTGTTAATTATTTATCACAATACCCTGACTAGACTTTTTATTTATCTTATTTTTATATTAAAACACTATTATTTCAATATTTCCAATATTAGTTTTAAATATCTATTTTAATTTATATTATTGTATTGATCCTTGCATAAGTTATTGTCATTATGTATTGACTAGTCCTTACATATTGACTAGTCAATTTATATTTCTAAAAGCTTGGCTAAAAATAGATCAATAAAAAATATATAATTTCAAACTTGTAGTTGCTAGTTATACTTTTCAAATAATTCAAATTTAGAATGGTAAATCAAATAAATTGGGGTATAAATAATTATTATATGTTAATGTGTCGATTTTAATTTTTGTTTCATGCTATGTTTTTTTTTTCTTAAGTGCATTTTGGACAAATCAATAGTCGAACTGAACCAATAACATGCAAATAACGGAATATCAAATCATACAAAACGAATACGTGGACATACAAAATTTGAAAGCTCGGAAGTTTGAACCATTTCATCATCACACGACCAGACCAGTACTTACGAGATTGCATCATGCTACGTCTTTTATACGGTAAACTATGGGTAAAACATAAAAATTGCAAATTTAAATATAATCCAAACTTATATTTTTAATTTGAAATTTCAATATTCGGCACAATTTGAATCATTTCATGTGAGTTTCAAGTTAATTTAATTTTTTTTAGATTATCCGATGACCTAGCCAAACTCGATTAATCCAATACCATAGGGACCCGAAAAGTTGGAAAATTAAATTTATGTAAAAATTTGAATAGAAATTAAGAATTTGTTAGCACTACAAAAAGATAATATTTGTAACGGAATTTCGTCTCTAAAGTTCACGTAGCTAACGTAATTCCATTCTTAATTCCGTCTCTAATGTCATTAGTAACGGAAAAAGTAGATTTAAAGACAAAAAAGTTTTATTACAAAAATGATTTTTTCTTATAGAATAGATTGTGTTTTTAATTAATTATTTTTACTATTCATCTAAAATAAATTATTTTTCTTTTAAAAAATCGCTATCGTACATTTAATTTTATATTTCATATGATAAATGCAAAAATTATTTTTATTTAAAAATATTAATCAATTACTTATTTATATCAAATATCAAATCATTCAATTTAAAATTGTATTATTTTCAAAACACATGAAATCAATCAATTTTTGCTAAAATTATATTACTCCCACCGTCAACCCGCCCATCAATCCGTTTACTTTTTGCACGTAGATTTTAGTATATTAGTATTATGTTGATATATGGTCCAATTGATATACATAAAGACTATTATACCCTTTAATATTTATGGTATTAAATGGTGTTATTTGATGATATTTGTGTAATATTATGTAAAGGATGGATTAATTTTATATTTTAGTAGAAGATATATTTACTAAAAAGGAAAATTGATACATTTGCGGCAAAATGGATAGATTGACGGTGGACGAATGAAGTATTATTATTAGCTTCAAAACTTTTATCATATAAATATCTGTGATCTTATATAAAAACATATACGGTTTACGTTCCACTTTTTGCTTTGATTATTTCGCATAATTTTTTTTTATTTATTTATTTTATGTAAGTATAATTTAATAATAATTTTTACAAAAGATTTTTAAAAATATAAAATAGGAAAATTCAACATTCTAATTAGAAATAGTAATAAATGAGTGGAGACAAAAAAAAAAAAAAAAACTTTATTTTTTTTACTATCTCTATCTGTTTCACTCAAAATTATATATTTCTTATTATAGTAAAAATTATCACACATTAACATCTAAATAATTTTAATTTTTATATAAATTATAAATGTAGTATTGCACTTATACATAAAGTACAAAAATAAAAATATCAAAATATCTTACATATTTTTACTAACTAATAAAATATTATTATTTTGCAATTTACTCCGAATATTCAAATTTATATTTCAATCTAAGGAGGAAGTAATATTTATTTTTATAAAATAAATTATTATTTAAACAAAAACCTTAAAATTAAAATACAAATTTATAAATCTCGAATAAATATTTATGATAGCGATAAGTATTATTTAAATAAATAAATAAGTAAATAATTGTATAGTCAAATTGGAGTGATGGGAAGATGCGTGCAGTGTTGCCCGTTGACTGCATATACTTTTAGAGATATGCCTTATCTTAGGATTGTCCTCATCCACCCAAAACTACTGTATTTTCTGCTATATTATTTTTAAATTTTATTTTTAAATTTTTATTATATTATTACAATTTTTTGATAAAAATATTTTTATAAAATACTATCATATTTAAATTATTAATTAAATATAATAAAAATTAAATTCCAAACCTCCTGAAGGGAATATGCAACCGCTTAGCTACAGTTAAAATTGACTATTGTGCATTCCCACTATGAAGCAATGTTTCCACACATATATTTATTTTGTTTACTTATATTCGTAATAATAATAATGTAATTTTTTTATAGAATGATAATAGGACATGATTATTAGAATAAAACAAAATTAATGTAATCTAACATTTTTTTAGAAAAAATAAATAAATAATTTCATTATAATAATTTGTTTAAAAATACTAAAAAACAAATCCTATTGAAAAATGAAATAATATATGGTGGCGTATGTTTCTTTCTATTTAATTTTATATTATTATGTAATTTTTATGCAATAATCAAATATTCTCTCTCCGTTCCACATAATTTGTCCATATTTTTTTATTTTAGTCCGTTCCACGTAACTTGTCCTTAATATTTTTGGAAATATAATTATGCACTTTAATCGCATTTTAAATTTTAAATTTACTTATCTTAATCTATAATTATTTTTACTAAAGAATTATTATTTTTACTAATACACTTCGTAATTATTTACTAATTATACTTTATCTAAATTCCAGTATTTACAGTCCCATATCCTCTGGGACGGAGGAAGTACAATATATTGTCAGTAGTTAAAAAAAATCAGAGTTAAACAATGATCTGTTTAGTTTTGTTTTTAAATAGAATATTTTTTTATAAATATTACTCACTCTCCGTGTCCAGGGTTGAGCCTGGGGTTTGACTGCGGACTAAAAGTGTTTTAAAAATCAAAATATCTTTACTTTATGTAATTATTGTGAAAAAGTAAAAATAGTTTTGTAAAAGGTAAGAAGATAATTACTAAAAATAAAAATGAGACTATTGTTTTGGAACGGAGGAAGTATTAAAAAATATATTCTCTTTGTTCATGGTCATATAACTCATTTAGTTAAGTAAAATGTAGGTCAGTAAATTATTAATAATAAGTTATAAATATTTATCTATTTTTATTATTGTTAGTATTCTAAATATTTTTAGCATTATATTTCAATTTCAATGCAATATGAATATTATTTTGTAATAAATAAAAAATATATATTTATTTATAATTTTATATAATATAAAAAATTAAATATAAATAAAAATATTTGTTTATTAAATAGGAAAATTGAAAACGCAATATCACAAACAAACCCTATTTTACAAATTAGAACCAAAACAAACCATAATAACTATTGGGCTAATGAAATTGGGCTCAAATAATTTAATCAACGTTGGTGGCCCAATAAAAATCTACTCTTTACGGGACAACTGATGAACTGGAGTTCTAACGTAGTCATAGACAGTGAATTGATCGAACAACCCACAGTTGCCAGTCCAGTGACGAAGGGAGAAGCTCCAGAAGAATCAAGTAAATCTTCTCATGGTAAATTGTTTCGAATCGCCTTCTCCTTTTGGTATTCATGGCGGCGCTGTAGTGGATTTTTTGTACACGCGATTTTCTCATCAACAGTTGTTTGTGTATGCGAAATTTGGGGCAGGAGTCGAGAGATGAGGCCGCCGTTGTAGTAATTGGTGGAATGGTTCTTGATGTTAATGCAACCGCTTCTTCCATGGCTGCTAATCCGCGAACTACGGTTCCTGGAAAGGTACGATGCAACTAATTTAGGCCTGTGTTAATCCTTATTGGATGCAGTTTGTTAAAGAGCTTGAGAGATGATTTTTAGGAAAATTTATATGGTACATTCATTAGGATGATGATGCATTTGTAAGGTTGATTACATGGCGAATACTTGAGATTGAAATCAATTGATGCCCTAATTTCTTATTGATCCCTTACAGGTTAGTGTTATTTTCAAGCTGTAAAGCTACAATGAGAACCAAAATGAAAATGGCAAAATGAAGGCCGGAGACTCTGAGATTATCTGTTATACCTGGGACTTGCTTCTTCAGGTTCTGTATATGTTAGGAGGTGTTGGAAGAAATGTTGCCGAATGCATGTCGAAGCTAGGAGAGAAGCCTTTCATGATAAGTGTTGTAGGATATGATCTGGCAGGTCTGACTCTGTCTATGATGATTTTTGTCGAAAATTGCTTACCTATTTATGGCGTGGTCGAACTAATTCTCGAATTCTGGTGAAATTCTTTCGGAAAAAATTAGTTTGTTTTGAGGCAGTATTCAGTCTTCTTCTAGTGATGAGATTTTGCTGTGGAAGTTCCTAAAGCAGCATTCTTTATAATTTTCTGAATGAAGTATTAGTAGAATGGATTTAATGCTTACGAGCATTCGTCATATCATTGGTGCTACTGTTTTATATTGTAAAAGAACTTTAGATTAGGATTTCTGCTGCAGACTTACACATTGCGGTTTACTTATTCCATTACAATAAAAAGAGACACCGATCGATTGACGTTTGTGTTATAAACAGGAAGCTTCTTGTTGGAATCCTGGAAATATGCTGGATTGTCTGATGAAGGTAAAAATTTTACCAAACTTTCTCAGGAATCATCAATCATGATTGGACCCTTATAAAGTTCTTATGAGCTGAAATATTGCGGGTGCCTGTCATGCTAGAGTAATTAGAAATGAACGGAAAGAAGAATAAGATATCATATAATAAGTTGCAGGAGACTGGTCAAATGTTTTAATTTGTGGTGAGGCACATTTATATTGAATAAATATTCATCAATCATCGATAGTTTTTGTTTCTAACCTTGCAAACTGGTAACTAAATTAGGTTTGTAACATTTTGTCATGGTTAATTTCTCCATCTATCTTAATTTCGGGAAACCATAGTAAATTTTCCCATCTTAAATGTTATACATGGTCAGGCATTCAGAGAAAGCAAGATATTGATACTGGTGTGGTTTGCAACGTCTTTGATGGTAAAGGAGAATTGGCTGCTGGCATTGCTAGCGCAGAAGCAATCGTAAGTTTTTGCTTAAAGAAGCCATTACTATGTTGAATGTTTTGCACAAAACAAAATTTATGAATTTTTATTATGTGGCACGACAATAGGAAAAGTTCCTTACTCCACAATGGATTGGAAACTTCAAGTCCAAAATCTGTTCTGCTCCTATGTTGATGCTTGATGCAAATTTAAGTGATTCTGCTCTTCTTGCATCTTGTCAATGTACGGTAAATTTTGCTTTTTGTTATGTTAGTTTCTTCCACCTCTTTGCGTGTTTGCAGGTTGTTGAAATGCTTAGAAAGTATTTTACTAGTTTAATCTTAATCATTTTAGTTCATTTTATTTTTCATGTGATCATGGAGGCACACATATGCAAATCTATGTGATATTGCATTGGTAAATGGAGCCTAGACATAATGACGAACTGGAATTCAAACATAGAATAAACATTAATTGTGGACTTAATTCGGTGATTCCTTAGTTACAAACACATAATTCTAAATGGACCCTCATTTTATGGTTTACAATAATGCATAGTCAGTTGTTTGATGTTCTAGCACACACTCCCTTGTATGCAGAGATTATTCTTTTTGAAACACTATTTCATAAATAAATGCAACAATCCCGAAATTTGATGTGGCATCGATATGAAACTACATAGCTACATTAACCTTAGGTATAAGCTGTTACATAGATAAACACTGCAAAATCTAATTACTCTGAACATCTGGCATAGTTATCATTTGTTATTCTGTCATTTGTCGAAACAAATTGTTACATGCTTATATGGTGATGCTGAATTGACACAACCGAAGTACTTAAATTGATAAATATATTGGCACCATGGGAAACTATCCTTCCAATGTGGTGATTAGTTGCTCGTCTTGTTACCCATGTAAATCACTTAACTGTGACCCCTGACATAGTTACGAGGCTTCCCTTTTTATGCAATCTGCAACCTTAACAAAATTAGGCATCTTTCTGCCGGCTAACCATATTGACGAACCCTAATATTGCTGAATATGTACATATGTATGTGTATATATATTTGTAATAACACATCTTAGCTGGATATAATTTTTCAGTGGCAGTGGAATGTCGAACTCCTGTATGGTTTGAGCCTGTATCAGTTACAAAATCGAAAAGAATTGCTTCCATCGTGAGACATGTGAGTGTCCTTCGATATATGGCTAAAACTAACAAAGTGATCTCATCTTCGCCATTTAAAGTATCACCATGTAGGTGTGTGTGTGAACTTTATCAACTTTTAACCTAATAATTTACTTTTTTTTTTCAGGTAACTTTCACCTCGCCCAATGAAGACGAGCTCATAGCAATGGCAAATGTTCTGTCTCCAGGGGACAAATTCTCACCAATTCCAAGGGATAACGACACTGCTAATTTATCTATAGGATCATTATTTCAAATGCTAAAGCCGGCTATATGGGTTTTGCTACATAGCGGTGTTCGTATCGTAGTTGCTACACTCGGATCACACGGTGTGTTCTTATGCTTTGAAGCAACATACGGAGCTAAAAGACACGATCATACTAGAAAAGCATCCTCTTCTTTTAGTACGAAATTATATGATTCGATAAACCTATGTTGCGTGTCGAATAGCATCTTAAGCTCTCGGAAGACTAATCGAAGAAGCTCTTACATTGCCATACATTTTCCGGCACTGCCTGCCTCAGTAGCGAGGCTTACCGGCGCCGGAGATTGCTTAGTCGGTGCCACCATAGCTTCTTACTGTGCCGGTTTAGATATAATGCAAAGTGTTGCAGTCGGCATTGCTGCAGCAAAAGGGGCTGTTGAGTCTGAGCTCAATGTTCCTGCTGACTACGAATTAACCAAAATTTCAGGTACCATCGTTTGCAGTTTTCTTAGTTTAATGTTTTGTTTTCGATTTTGCTGTTTTGCCCATGATTTTCCCTGCAGATGACGCGGCTTCTGTCTATTCCAATGCAAAAGTTGTGTTCTGTGAATCGAAGCTGTAACCATACCTTGTGGTTATTATTACAGATCGAGCATTGCAACATGTCGGGTATGTACACTTTATGGCATTCTTGCATCGGATGAGTTCGATTTGCTTTCGTAATTTATATACATACTTGTGGAGAAAAGTTTGCCATGTGGTTAATTGATCGAACCTGTTATTGGCTGTGTTCTTTTTTGTGTTTTCCTATGTTTTCGTTTTTGTTTGATTTTTGTAAGTAAAATTGCGATGTTTTGAATGTAAAATATGTATATGCCTTTGTTGGGAAGAACACAAGGTAAGAAGCAAAAGAGTATTGGAAGAATTATTTTACAAGTAGAAAAGATAAATTGAAATGAAATTACATTACATTGCTTATTTGCATGCCTATATCTATCTACCTACCAAAATATTTATTCTAGTGTCCAAGTTCACAATTATATTTTAGACATAATACCAATGTGAGTAAAGGCAGGAATAATACCTGAGGCACTTCGAACAAAAAAGTACAATTCTTAGTTCGCAATTATTATTTTTTATTTTTATTTTATAAAAAATGAATAGTAAAATTTTAAATTTGAATAATTGTTTGAATGTAAATTGATTTTTAGTATAATATAAAAAATAAAAAATTATTATTTGATTTGATATTTTCAGACTACTGAGTGTAATAAGAATGTGATGTTTTATGTATTTTTTAAGAGAAATAATAAAATTAATTGTAAAAATTTTGTAAGAAATTAAAAAAGGCAAATTTCTCTTTTATCCACCAAATCTCAAATGAAATGATGCTAAAGTTTGTCCCGCAAGAGATGAACTAATGGTGAAAAGGTTTGTGATCGTGAAATTATAAGATTTGTTACATTATCAACAAAAAAAAAAAAAATGATGATGAAACTCTTTTTATTTTACATTTTTTTTTTCGTATTTTCCTAAAAATTAAAAAAAAATTAATATCATTATTTTTATATTTTTCATACTTTCTATAAAACTATATATATATATATTCAAACCATTTTACAAAATAAATATAGCACCGCCAGCTTTTTAAAAAGTAAAGTAATAATAATAAATGTGATATTAAACTTTTATATATATATATATTTATTATACATATGTATTTTGAAATTTTAACGGCATTTATTAATAAATATTCTTTTATCCATTAAATTTATACTTCTTTTTGTTGGTCCATATAAAAAATATATTTTTTATTTATACAAATTAAATATTTATACAATCAATTTAAGAACATAAATTTTATAGACAAAAGAAAATAGCTTATTTTTTAAAAATGTAATTTGTTTAAATATATAATAATAGATTTTATAATTGTCCAAACACAAAATATTTATTTTTTTTTTTTCACTATATATGAGCTCGTTATAAGTTACTAATACCTTTATATTTATAATTATTTATATCAATATCTTGCACTAATTTTACAAATCATAAAGAATAAAATAATCTCTACATACTTACATACCAAAACTATAGTTAACTATCACTAAAATATAATATTTATTAAAATTTTTATGTAAAAAAAAAATAAAAAAATATTTACTTTTTATATTAATAGAGAAAATATCATTCTATTTTAATAAAATCTCACATAAAATACAATTCTTTTTCAGAATATCAAAATTTTTTAAAATTTCTAAAGCTTTTACTATTCTAAATTCCAAACCAAACTCTCAAACTCACAGACAAACAAGCGCCCTATAAATTCAATCTCCCATTGAAGAAACGCCCGCCCGGGGCAAAGAGACAACCTCATTCCAGAAAGAACGTTGAGTTAATGTTCATGTACCTTAGATCCCTCAAAGAAGCTCTGCAATTCCACGCCCTTTCCATTAAATCCGGCCGCCGTCCGCCGGTCGCCGCCGCTAACAACCTCATACATCTCTACTCCAAACACGGCCTCACTCATGACGCCCGCAAGGTGTTCGACGAAATGCCTCAACGAAACATCTTCTCATGGAACACCATACTCCACGCTCACGTCGCCGCCGGAGACTTCGATCGAGCGAAAGCTGTATTCGATTCTTCGCCATGCAGAGATTCCGTTTCGTTCAACACAATGATCTCCGGCTACGCTCATTCCGGCGACGAGAGCGACGCCGTTGAGTTATTCGTTCGCATGCAGTCCGAGGGCGGCGATGCAGCTCGGGTCGACGAGTTCACGGTGTCTATGATGCTCAATTTAGCGGCCAATTTGGGAGGTCCGGTTTTCGGGAGAGAAATGCATTCGATTGCGGTGAAGACCGGGAACGACTCGAGCGGATTCGTGTCGAGCGCTTTGATATATATGTATTCCAATTGCGGCTTTTTTCCGGATGCATGCCGCGTCGTCGACGATCATTATTGTCGCGATTCGTTTGTGAAGAACGCGTTGCTCGCCGCGTGTTGTCGGGAGGGCGAAATGGGAATGGCGAGGGAGGTATTCACTCGAAATCCCGATTTGAACGACGTCGTGTCGTGGAACACGTTGATCTCTGGGTACGTTCAAAGCGAGCGTGACGAGGAAGTGGTGGAGATGTGCGTGCGCGCGATCGAGTCGGGAATACGGTGGAATTGTTACACGTTTGCCGCTTTGTTGTCGGCTTGCGGCGCGTTGAGGTGGTCGAAGCTCGGGAAGGAAGTTCACGGTCGAGTCTTGCGAGACGGGATTTTTTCGAATCCGTATTTGAGTAGCGGCGTCGTCGACGTGTACGCCAAATGCAGTGAGATGAGGTACGCCGAGCGCGTGTATAGAGTATGTGGACAGGGGAACGTATTCGCAACGACTTCGATGATCGTCGGATATTCGACGAAAGGAGACATGTTGAGCGCGAGACAACTCTTCGACATGTTGCCCAATAAGAATTTCGTCGTGTGGACGTCGATCATTTCGGGCTACGCAAAGCTCCAACGATGCGAGGAAGCGTTCATTTTATTCCGCGAGTACGCGGTGACAACGTTTCCCGATTCGGTGATACTCGTCGTTATGCTCTCCGCTTGCGCGACGTCGGCGACGGTCGGCGCGGGGAAGGAAATCCACGCGCACATGTTGAGGACGCGAACAACTTTCGACGAGAAAGCGACGAGCGCATTAATGGACATGTATTGTAAGAGCGGAGTCTTATCGTACGCGAAGCGAGCGTTCGAAAGATTTTCCACCCCCGACATCGTCGTGTACAACGTCATGATCGCAGGATTCGCCCACCACGGGCACGACGTCGAAGCGATCGAACTTTTCGACGAAATGGTCGATCGAGGGATAAATCCCGACGCCGTCACATTCGTCGCGCTTCTCTCCGCCTGTCGCCACCGCGCGCTAGTTGAGAGGGGCGAAAGCTACTTCTCGTCGATGATTAAAATCTACGGGATCGAGCCGGAGATGGATCACTACGCGTGCATGGTCGACTTATACGGAAGGTCGAACCGATTCGAGGAGGCGGTCGCGTTCATCGAGAGAATGCCGGTGGAGCCGGATCCGATCGTGGCGAGCGCGTTTCTAAGTTGTTGCCGGAATGTCGAGGCGACGAGGAAGGTGGAGGGCAAGTTGTTGGGGGCTGAGGGGGGCGGAGACCCCCACGGGGGGCGGTATGTACAAGTGGCGAGGGCATACGCGCGGGGAGGCTTGTGGGCGGAGATGGGCCGGGTGATGAGGGAGATGAGAGGGAGGGAGGTTAAGAAAGTCGCCGGATGTAGTTGGGTGCACGTCGCTGGCGGCGTCCATACGTTTATTTCCGGCGACCGGTCGCACTCGCAGGCGGAGGCGATATACCGGACGTTGGATTGCCTGACGGGCAGGTCGGAAGAGGAAAGAAATGAATTTTTTTTGGATGTTTAGTTATGATATTACTTTGAACGATGAGAAATTTTCCCGTATAGTTTTTTTTTTCAACGACGTTGAGTCATTTTTTAAAACACATGTGATTATGATGCATAAAATTCGTAGCATAACCTATATGCAATGTGTTATGGTTATTGGAGTAAATCATGCAAATAATAGGGAAGGAGAAGACCATTTTCATTGAAGAAAACATATAGAGGTTCACAAATTAATTTGCTTACAGTAAGAGGCGCGGCGAGTGTCGACAAAATTCAGTATGCTGGAACCGTCGCCCTGTAAAACTACTCGGCCGTCTTCCATGTAGACAGCGCCGTCTGCATGCTCGAGTTCTTCCAACCTGTGAGTTACCCAAAATGCTGTAGTTCCGGGTGAACTAGCCAAGGAGCTTTTCACGGCTCTTATCACCCCGACCTACGACAAATTACTCTTGTTATGCAATGCAATCATCCAACTCCAAAACTATAAATAACCACGCATATAAGTGTATATATATTTGTAAATGTACTTGATCGCCTTCATCCAGGAATGATGTGAGTTCATCGAGCAACAATACTTTGCAGGCTTCTGCTAGAGCCCCGGCAATGGCGACCCTTTGCTTCTGGCCACCGCTAAGAGTTTGAACTGGTCTCTAGAGGAGTGCAATTGCTAGTTAAATATACCGACTAATTCTTAGGTTAAAATAAATTTATGTTTTCTTGACGTGCCTGCAAATACTTAGACATGCCTACAGCATCCAAAGCTTTAGCCACTTTCGACATAATCTCACCATCTGTTAGATTGAATTTGCCGAGGCCAAATGCCACATCTGCCTCCACAGTCGGCATAACCACCTGCAGACAAAATGAAATCCTTTATCCTAGACGACAATTTTATGTGACCAGTAAATTATCTTCGTCTAGAAAGCCTCAAGGTGCTATAAAGATATGCCCAGAAAGGCACCAAACGAGAAAGTAGAAATTATAAAATTTAATTAGAAAAAGATTACTCCCTTCGTCCATTATTTCTAATTTGCGAGATCCTAAAACATTTACAATTTTTTCCTTATTTCCACAGTTTTTTCTCTCTTACCCTTTTAAATACACTTTATAAAATCATTTCAGACAAAAGTAAGGCAATGGTAATAAAGACTATAAAAATAATCACACTAAAAGCAAAGGTAGCAAACAAAATGGGATATGGAGAGTATAATTTTACTTACTTTGATTATTTAGGAGTTGATACAGTTTGGTTATTTATAAATATAAAAGTATTTGATATTCGAACAGAATCAAACAAATATTTGAAATTGTAAATCGTATTTGTACTGAAATTTTTGGTGTTTGATTAAGAGAAAATATTTGCAAATATTTCAAATCGAATCGACTACAAGTACATATATTTCTAATGGTGAGAACATATTAATATAAATATTTAATAATATTTAATTATGTTTAAATATATTTAGAAGCAATATATTATATTTATGGAAATATGCGTAGGATTCGTAGGATTCTTGTCTTATTTAGACGATTTGTATATCCCTATAAATATATCGTATTCTTATGATTGAAATAGAAAAATTCAGTTTCATATTCTAACATGGTATCAGAATCAAATTCTCTCTGGGTACCTCCATGACCCGTTATATCCCGTATATATTTCTATATTTTATTAATGGATTAGCTTTTTTATCCACGATCATGTTGTTATTTTCATGTTGTCTCCGTCTTTACTACTCCACTTATAGAGTCTACTTTCGACTCTAACGCTGTTGAAAGCCTTGTTTTCAACTCTAACTCTATTGAGAGCGATGGCGTTTTGTTTTCGACTCTAGCTCTGTTGTGAGCGAGCGAATCCGGTTTCCGACTCTAGCTCGATAGAGTGAGCGAGTCCTGTTTTCGGCTCTAGTTCCGTTGTAAGCGAGCGAGTCCTGTTTTCAACTATAACGGTGTTGAGAGTTCTGCTTCTGACTCTGATTCAGTGGACGGCTATACTACTTTCAGTCGATCTTGGCGAATTCAAATTCGTACATGGAAGATCTCGGCTATATCTTTTTCGGTCATTTTTTACAAACTCAAGTTTGTTCCATCATATCTTGAGTTTGAGGAGGGGTGTTAAATTATATTTAGAAGCAATATATTATATTTATGATAATTATCTTATTTAAGAGATTCGTAGGATTCTTGTCTTATTTAGACGATTTGTATATCACTATAAATATGTACGTATTATTATGATTGAAATAGAAAATTTCAGTTTCATATTCTAACAAATTATATAGTATAATTTGGTTCAGTTTGATTATAGGTCTTTTTAGATTTATTGAACTCAATTCGATAAATCCAAAAAAAATTAAAAATGAAAACCGAATCGAATCAAACAAATATCTAATATTTAATATTTGTAATTGAGCCAAAATTCCTCAACTAATCTAAAATTCAATTTGGCGAGTCAATGGTTCGGTTCGAATATTTTGCTCAGCTATAGTTATTGTCCTAAATCAGTGGGTGTCTACTAGAGAGGACTACTTCTAAGAATTTAATAATCTATTTCTCTCAATATTTGCATAATATTTCTCTTTCTATATATGTGTTTATTTATATACCTCTTTCGCTATTTATTTATTACCATTTTAGTATTTCTTTACCCCACAAGTGTATTGCATTTCTTCCCACTAGCCTCTAGAGATATTCTACATGGCCCTTACATTGACAACACTGAGCTTATGTATGCAGTTATTGGACTCTTTGAACAAGAATTTTTGGAATATCCTTGATGCCAACACAAATAATAGGAATGAGTGAAAATTTTGAGTATACTACATCAAAATGTGCTAGTGTTTCTTAATCCATCCAAACAAACAGAGGACTACCAGTATCTAGACCACCACGTAGGGGTGCCACTTGGCATCAAACCAGTCACCGTTTCCACATTGAGGGAGGTCTATCATTTCTCGCAAGACCAAGGGACTAATACCAAATGACTGGAATAAATTCAAACCACTATGTCGAAATTTTAGATTGATAGAAAGGCCACAACTTTCATTAATCAATGCAAGTTAGACATGGACATAGCAGTCTCCATCATCTCCTAACCCATCTCTGAAACTAAGGATAAATCATCCCATGAGTAGAAAGTTCGACCATAGACTGTTAACAGGCCACGCTGAGTCATATTCCTTTAACTTGACAAAAATGTATGTGCCCGGAATTATGAGCAGTATACATCTCAAAACCTAAATTCATTTCGTGCACATTAAACTAAAAACGTGTTCTTTCACTCCAAAACTATGCGGTCATCATGATCTTCTTCATTCCTCTCTCCTCTCTGACTCACTATCGATAGAAACAACAATATCATCCAGCATAACAACAACGATATCTTCCCTAAAACAATAGATTTACTTATTCAGAATGTCTAACCAAACCAACTCTTTCTGGCTGTAAAATAACCATGCATCAGAAAGGAAAAAGAAAAAAACAAACAAAACAAAAACAGAAACAGAAAAAAACCAAAAAAACAAAACTTTTCGACATATCTTATCAAAAAATTACAACGTGGCCCATTATCATAGATTGAAACAAGCTTATACCTGGTATGATTTAACATTTTTTCACCGGTGATGTGTGGTCATAACAATATATCTGACACTTTTGTGGGTAAGAAGTTCAAAGATTAACTATTATCTTTACAATCACCTAGAGTTGTTAAACGAGCGAAGCAAGTTTGAGCCTATGTTTTCAAGGTTGACTCGAACATGCTATCGGTGCAAAGTTGACTTTGCTTGTCTAGGATTTGAGCTAAAACGGTAGTAGCTCAAGCTCAGCTCATTAAGTTCAAATTCAAATGTTATTAATAATTACAAATTTTGATATAAAAAATTATATCCACTATATTAATATATAAAACGATATAAATATACTATGTTTATCTCTATAAATGAGTCAAGAGCAAGCTTAGCTTGATTTAAAAGCCTCTATTACCTAAGGCATATTAATGGAAAGCAACAAACATATGTATAACTGTGAACTTTCAGAATCTTACAAATGTAACATTTTTAACAGCGGGAAAATTGAGCATGCCCTAATTTTGCAATTACTAAAACCAACCTGATGATCAGGATTCTGAAACACAAAACTCCTCGGTTTGCTTACTCTCACATATCCACTGCTTGGATTTAATAAACCACCTAAAACCTGCACAAATTTCAACAAGAACAACTAATTGAGCCTTAATGAACCGAAAGTCTCCAATAGACGAAAAATCTGCGCAAAAATGTAGATTAAAAGGAAAAACTGGATAGCATTTACATGAAACAAATGAATACCTTTAGGAGAGTCGATTTCCCGCAGCCATTGGGTCCCAGAAGCATCCAGAACTGTCCAGCGGGTATGTTGAGCGAACAATCATTTAAAATCGGTAAAATTCTTCCCTGACGAGTTCTGACCGAGTAGCAGAGATTCCGACACTCTATCGCAAAATTATCGGGCGCAGCGGCGGCAGTATCAACGGCGACGGAACTATTTCCGGTGGAATGAGAGCGGAGGAGAGGGAATTGCACCGCCGCGGTGCCGGTGGTTCCAGCAAGTGCCGTGCAATTCATTCTCCCCCTCAAACGGACGGTTCGTAGCGGTAAATAAATTGTGAATAAATATAGTTACATACTGAAATTTAGGGCCCATGTATAATTTGTTTTTTTTTAATAATTGATACACTGTAACACTTAACTCACTCAAATGAATATATTCTGAAATTTTGAATTCGACTAAAAATGCTTGATGTGATATATAAATAAATTTTGAATGAAAAATGTGTTTTCTTATATAATATTCTAACTAACAAATCATTTTTTAACATGAAGTTTTTTTTAAAGGTGTTTTTTTTAAAAAAAAAAAAATTCAAATCATAAATAAAGTATAGTATTAATATAATCATTTGTATTTTTAATAAAAATTGAAGTAGCTTGATAGTAAATAAAATTTTAAAAGAATTATTTTTATCAATTAAATACTTGTTTTTTTTTAAAAAAAAAAATGATTTGATTTTGTTTTAAGTGTAACTTAAATACTAATGTAATAAAAATAATAATAATAATAAATCAAATCATATCAAACCAAAATCAAATTCTCCAATAACACATTTTAAATGTGAATGGCCATGTTGCCTTTAGAATTAGCAAAAATAGTTACGGTCCGAAAACTCGATCTAAATCTAATTAAAAAAAAAAAAAGTTTTTTAGCTTAGAACAATAAGTTCAAAATAATTCAGGTTGTGTCTGGCTTGGCACGAGTCTAAACCGGGCAATGTCCGGACCATCAAAGTTTTAAAAAATAATTTCATAAATATATTAGCAAATAAATTTATATAAAAAAATTATTATATAATTCAATAGTTTTGTTCTTGTTTAACTAAATAATTAGATTGTTTCAGAATTTTTTTCAAAAAAAAAGAAAATTAATTAAAATTAAAATAAATATAAAAACTCAACTGACGGAACTAGTCTGACACGAAAAGATCGAGCCAGCCCAATTTGCTACCTTTAAGTTACTTTCAGAAAAATATATATATATATATATATTCTCAAATTCATTATTCAAATAATCAATTAAAGTAAATTTTGGATGCTTTTAGCGGTGTTGCTTGCCATCTTGTTAGATTTAATTTGCATGCGAATATTCATATTATAAAAATTATAATAATTATGAATGAAGTAAATTGGTTTGATACAAAACAATAATCAAATATTCAGTCCATCCCTCACCCCAAATTTATTTTTACTTTTTATTTCTTATTCCATTACTATATTTGAAAAAATAATCGATACTTATTTATAACAACTGTGTTACTAACTCTCTTCAATGAACTAAACTAAATATGACAACGGAAAAAATAATACACATTGAATATAGATAACATTGATCTAATTTATCTTAAGGATTTGTTTGATTTTGATTTGATTTGTTTATTTGTATGATCGGGAGGGATAGGGTGCTGAAATTTTTAATTCAGCACCAATGTTGAACACTTTAAATTAATTAGTCTGATTTATATAATTAATTAAAATAATTAACATAATTATATATTATTAAATTCTAAGTGTTCAGCATGAGTGCTGAATTTTTTGATTCAGCGCCCTATCCTCTCCCTTGTACGATAGAGATAATTTTTGGACATAAGAATAAAATTAATTACATTCAAAATATATTTTTATTATAATAACTATATTCAATATTTATTTATTTGTAATAAAAATAAATAAATAAATTCAAAAGAATTTAAATAAATCCTTTTACAGGATTCAAAACAAATAAAATAATGAATAACACTATTCACAAAATTCCCTAAAGTCTACAGAGTCGATAAACATAACAGCTTACAGCAAGTGGAATAAACTAACTAATATTCCAAGAACTTTCTAAATTTTCTTTTGGGGGTTTAGCTAAGGTAAAAAATGAAAAAAGAAAAAAATCAATAATAAAATAAAAATAAAATGCAGGAGAATGAAGATATAGTTACTTACTACTAGAGACAAGTCATCCATGGCTGGCTGGCTGGCTGGCTGGCCTTACTATTTTTCAATGCCCTGTTGCAAGTACTGGATCAAGTCGTACCCGGCCGTCGTCCACTTATTATAGGCATCGGTGCAAGTCCGGATCATGTAGTTGGCGGCTTCGCGCTCGCTCATTTCTGGATGAAATCGCTTGCGTAGATGTCCTATGGGGTCCCCTCTGCTGAAGCAGGGCAATCCGCTGTCGATCATTAGCAGGACTGTTGTGATGATCCCATCCATGTAGCGCCGCGCAGCTAGGTACCCCTTTACACATAAGCTGTGGAATGGAAATCCGCTTTATTGGTAGAGTTACTAAAATGATCATTTATGCTAATATAATACAAATGCTAACATATAAACTGACACAACTCACAACTGATCCAAGACATATGACATGTTAGAACAGCACAATGCGGATGATATGTTAGCACATCACAGAGAAACAATAAATATTTTATGTTAATATAATGCTATATCTGTCATCCAATTGTGTGCTCAAATATTTGGAGACGAATTTTAATAAAAATGAGTAATAATTGTTACTTTTTTTACTTTTATAGTAAAAAGTACAAAAATGTGATTGACCTTTTTGCTAAAAAATAAAACGAAAATATTTTTTTATGACAATTTGAAAAGAAAAATGAATATAAATTTGAATGATACCACTCTAGTGGACAGCATTGATGAGAAAATAAACAGGCCAGTTAGTTAGTTAGTTACCTGACGAATTGGTACCACGTGTCGCTTTTCATGACTCCTGATGGATCGAGTAGTTGAGTCATCTCATGGCTGAGTTTGAAATGTGCGCTTTCGAATCTCATGTTTCCACCGGGGGAAGTCTCCAAAATGAAACCGAAATCAATATGAACAAGCCTGCCTATACTGTAGTAAACAGAACAAGAATCCGGCGTCAGTGTAATAAAAAAAGGGCATCGAATATGAAAAGTGTAATATGTCACATTTGATGACTTTATCATATTAATATGCCCAATCGAACCAAATTATCACACTGGTTGGTGCACAATAGTGACTAAAATAACAAAACAGAGGTGGGAATTTACGTACTTAAAGAACCCTTGTATGGTATTGGCTAAATACTAATAAAATAGTTCATAGGGTGTGGGATCTCATTCATCAATGAAAACAGAGAGCAGTAAAATATTTACTTGTCGAACAAAAGATTCCCATTGTGTCTGTCCTTCGGTTGAAGCAAAAGACTCGCAACTGCATATCCTGCGCTGCTAATGAGAAAATTCTCACGGGCAGTTTCAAAGCTCGGGGAGCCAACAGGCCCAAAGTCTTGCTGAAAAATCTCATATAGGCCACCATCAGTGGTCTCACCCATCTGACTCCTGCTTCGTGAATTGGGAACGACCTGAGAAGGATGAAGGATAGCAGAACTTAGGTGTAATCTTGAACGAACAAGAGACAGAAGCTTGCATGCTTGACACACACCAAGTGTGCGACAAGAAAGCTGATGACAGTTCGAAAAAGGAAACAAGGAATGACAGACCATGAATATACCTCAATAATTCCTCTCTCTGGTCCCGTCGGGAGCACTCCATACGGATACAGATATAAATTAAGCCCCACAGCTTCAAAGATATCCTTCAAAAGAGAAATAACTTGCAAAGCGAGAACATCTTGTCGACAGTCATCTCCAACCTATATCCAACAAATTCAGAGCCATCAGGCTATGAATTATCAAAACCAAAATAAATATTGACTTGAATCAACATACTTAAACATTTTCATGTCCATAACAAAGAAAAGATTTTAACAAGCAGATTTCTATACTGCATCTCCACATGACAGAAAGATATAGTCATAACTCATAAGCTTGTGAGGAGTCAAACTGAAATTGAACTACAGTTGGACAATTACAAGCCTGCTTTGTAACTTACTATTCCAAAAACTCAGATGCAAAGGATAGATCCATAAGGGGGGGTGCAGGGGGCAAGGGTCCCAGTGAACTTTTTTGGTTATACACAACCATATCTTAAATACTTTATTTGAGTATTGAATAAGAACGGCCAGCATGGATTTATGAGGAAGTAAATTTTTTCCATTTCCACATTTCTGTAGTTTTTTTAAACCAATAACTTGGATTGATTGATTGATTGGTTTTGGTATGATATGATGTTAATATGACTTAAGATTTTTGCTACGACCGTCCCCTCACTCCTTCAGCCCAAATTCTAATCCATCGTTGAAATAATAACATCAAAATTTTTATATGTGGGCACTTCTCCAGTAGAATAAAAAATCTTCCATGCAGAACCATATTGGCATACCTTGAAAATACAAGCTTGTGGCTTTATGTCATTGGGATCACCATCTTTATCCGCCACATTAAATGTAATCATTATAGGAACTTTTGCTGCTGATTGTAAAGGAATTCCACTATCAACCTGAATACCCCTGACGAGTTTATTAGGAGCTGTAGGTAGATACAGGTCCTCTCCGTCCACCTGAATTTTCTCCAACTCCCTATTCAAATATCATAATTAAGCTATTGTAATCATGGTTTATTAAGAAATCAGCAGTGGCAGAAATCTGTGGATGCAAGAACCACACTTTTCCAAGCCTCTCAAAAATTACCTTCTTATTCCGGCTCGCCTTTCGTCCTTTGGAATAGGGAAGAGAACGCCAGATATGGATGTAACTTTATCAAAGAAATCAAACTCCCTTTGAAACACATCAAGTGCTTTAGAATTGAAACCATCAATAATTTTTTGTCTGACAACTGGAAGAAGTTCTTGAAATGAGTTATTCTGCAAGAAACGAAACACCCAACACAGATATGATTCTATATGCTTTATGATATAACAAATTTCCTTATTAAATTAAATACAAGTTGTGACCCGCAATATAAATAAATATATATATATATAGAAAGATCTTTTATAGTGAGCAATTCAATGTTTGAGCGCTGCTGATTCAGCAAAAAACCAGCTGAAAACATATGTGAGCAACACTTCAAGAGAGAGACAGGATTATCTTGCAATGAAGTTAAAAGAGGAAGCAGTGTGAAAGATTAATAGGAAATCATGATAACCAAAAAAAGCAATATGCATTCTGTCCCCATAACAGATACAGCACATGACTAAGTACCGGTTTGGGAAAAATTATCCCACAGCACATCTGTGATTCACACTAAAGTGCACAAGGATGCCTAGGTGTAGAAGTTCCATTATTAAAGGTCAATGGGGAATGAAAAAATAACTTCTATAGGACTATATTAGGGTTAACTATATGAGGATTGCGGGGGACATGCAAGACATGATTCAGAGGAATATGAAATGAATTTTGAACCAAACATGTGTATATTCCAAGAATTAATACTATATATACTTTAAGACACATTCAATATCAGTCACTAAATACAAGCAAGCTTTAAGATACAACCAGGTAACATGATGTCGATTGGACTAGTTGCATAGAATAAAGATAGTTTTTCAAAAAAGTAATGAGTCTCATGACAACCTAATATAATACAAATGAATCTTCACTTAGGAAACAGAAATAAATTTAGTACCATAATCAGCATTAATAAAGACAGTTAATGTTTCTTATATCTAAAAGCAGTTGTATTAACAAGTATACCACGCCAGCGCCAGCGGGAGTGCCAGTGGGAGTGGTAGCACCAGCACCAGCTGGTATATCTTTATCAGGCTCAGGAACACTCTCACCCTGCAAAACCACACCATCATAAGCAAGTCAAAGAAATCTCACAACACAAACCAACCGTTGTAACACGCCAATAATTTACTCACATATAAATGTAATTTTTGTCACCTGTAAATGCCAAATTAATATGTGGGCAAAAACATCACTCCTCTGTGCAGCTCTTAGCAGATATCCCTCGACCAATTTCTGCAAGTTGGTATTGCCAATGTAAATAGAGAAATTGCAGCTGATATTGCATGCATAAGTAAGACAAATCAAGTTACTGTAACATAGTGAGAGAATTGAAGGTACTGAACTAGAAAATGATGCACAACGCAGTTTTTCAAAAAGTAAAAGCTGTTTACTATAAACCGTGGATGATCTCATAGTACAAGGATCTAGGTAACAAGCATTTGAAAGATCAACCTTGTAATGGGAGATGTATCTAAATGAGGCTAGCTTCAGCTAAGTGGCAAAATCTGCACTAACCCAAGCACCACATTTTACAAAAAAATCTAAGCAGTTTGCACTTGGCAACACAAACTTAAACTTTTTTTTTTCTCAGGACTTGGCGAATAGCAGTAAAAGGTTTATATATTATGATCTTCAAGTATTAATAGTTGATTATAAGTCAATGACATCAAATATGCTTTAAGGACCCATAATACATTTAAAATTAGTACGAGCAGGACAATAAACACTTCCAAGCTAATTTATATTTCGGTCACACTGATGCCTTGAGGTTTTTAGATTACTCTTTGAAAATGATAATGAAAACACAGCCATGCCAGACAAACACAACAAGAACTAACCTCGTCGTCATATCTTAGCGCCTGTACCAACTGAGGCATGAAGAAAGTCACTCTCTCAGGAGGATAAGATTCCAACACCCTGAGAACATAAGCCATGACTCGAGGATGACCTTTATATGCTGGACTAAGAAACTCCAAAGCTTGTGTAATTGAACAAGCTGCCCAGTGTGGTAGTTGTTGCAAAAGTGTAGAATTCTCATCCGCTGCTTTGGGCGTGACAAAATAAGGCAGAGCTGCAGGAATGCTGCGGATCTCCAAAACATGTGACTAAGAAAACAATGAAAACATAGGTCCAAATTAGTTAAAAATGAACATAAATGAAAGAAGTATATTTGAAAATACTCATCAAAATACCAATGAATGCTCTGTAGTTTAAAAACTATTAAACTAGTTAACCTACAAAATTGCTCATTAAATATATATATATATATATATATAACACTATGATACTGGGAAACATGAATTTGGAGGCAGTAACTGACTACAGCTCTTCTGGCACTTCTACCTCATCAATATTTACATTCACAATTGGACATTATTAATTACAAACATTAGGGGTTTATACTTTTCACTCAGAAAACTTCATCAACATACCTGAACTAGTTGGGTGATTTCAGTCTTCAGAGCTGCATTTGTCGGAAATCTTCCAGCAAGTGATAAAGCAATTTGAGGATCAACAGAGAAGGCCGTCCTTGCAAATTCTATCCATTTATCTGAGCTAACTTTAAGTCGAGAACTGCTTTCCCTGTTTAATTCATTACACAAGAAGACAAATATTCAAATAGGACTGCCATCATAGATTAGAATACAATAAGATAGTGATCATTTGAAAAGTTCAAACATTCAGTACTTTGATCCAACTGGTTGGGCCCAAACCTCAAGCCGGTCAGCCTCACGCTGGCATAACATCATCAGCAACTGCCTCCTTTTCTCCCGTCCAGTCCAATAGTTTTCCATCTGGCCCCAGACAGGATGGCAGTGACCCTTCAAAAGAACATAAACTTATAACTAAGTTTTCCACCCAAAAACCACTTTCATCATAAAATAAATAAATGGACAAATATTAGGCACAAAACTGCATCACCCTTTGTATGATTATCTTACAGTATTATCTGAAGAGGAACCATTTTCAACCCCATCTGTTTTCTGGTCAGGCTGCGGTTGTTCCACCCTCTCATTTAAGAGATGCTGAACAAGTATTGAAACAGACTGGGCTTCACTCTGAGCAAAATTGTTATTATTCAAATCATACCATTCAGGTTGATGAGCAAACCACCCTAAGAAGGCCCTGTTTTCACAAAAAGCACGCAGTAGGATTAAGACAAAAAGATCCTTCAACAAATAAATGAGAAAATCTAGAAAAGGGTAACTTAGCAAAATGGCCATAAAACACCACCTAAAGTGCTCAATGATTACAACAACAATACACATTAAGTGCATACTTTCACGGATGAATAGGACCATGCACTTGTGGGGTTCAAAATGCTTCACTCTCAGGATACTGGGTAATATGCACAGTATAGGCACCTAAGTGACAGAGGATATATACTAAATCTGCCAATTTAATTGTCAATTGACCACAATAACAGGTATGTTATTCAAAAGAATACATAATGATCTGCACAAGTAGCATAGGCACAGCTGACTCATGAAGAGAATGTAAAATTTTCACTATGATATCATTTTAAGGATCCTAACATCCATAAATAAAAAAGGTTTTATAGATATGATTTCCGTTCTATGATCCATGGATGTGAGTTGAATAATCATGCTAAACTATTGCTCACATCAGCTTAGTGAGCAAATCCTGCTGCTTGCATCCTTTCAATAGTCAAGCCTAGAATAGATTTATGGACAGTAATACATGTGAATAGTAAGAAAACAATAATCAGTATAAGCAAACGCAATATGTCATCAAACAAAGAACTGCTGGTTATGACAATGGCATTCTCCTTATATCATACCTATATATCCTATCTTCAAGCAATTGAAGTCCTGATTTGAAGTTCTGAAGGTTCCCCTGTGTTTGGCATGCACAAAATTTCAGGCCAAAAAGCATAAGCGTGAAAAAAGTTCCTGTAGCAGCTGGATGCCGTGAGAATTTCCAGGGGAGCTTTGTAGTTCCTTGTAACATTCGACCAAGTAGCAAAAGCTGTTCAATACTATCATGCCGAACAACCTGAATTAAATATTTTTCAAAATCTAAATAAAGTTTATAATGGTGATGGATAGCAGTAAGAATGAAGAAAAGAATGGGTATTCATCCATAACACAAGAATATACAATAGTAATTTTTCCAAAGACATGTTCAATCAAACTGAAAATCTGATTCAAAAGCATCGTCACAAAAAAAGCATGCCAGACTTTCTCAAGTGGGAAACTTACTTCAAATCGATCTATAAAGAATCCAAGCCACAGCCTATGAGCCATTATCTGTTCAACAGGGTCTTTCTCAGGCTCCGGTTCAGGTTCACCAGGGGTAAGGTGCGGCCTCAGCTTTGCAGATGGTCCAGCATACCTTATATCCGATGCAAAAAGGCCTTTCTTGGTGTCAATTGTCCATAACCATGCATCTACAAGCTCCGCAAGAATAAGAGATCCCAACTTAGGAGCAGCAGAAACCAGCCATGTCCAAATGTACACACCAATCTCCACAGCATCAAGTGTGGTTATATAAGCTGGGCACCAGCAAAGAAGGCGCAGAAGTTGGGAAAAGCTCTCAAGATTTAAATTTGAATCTGAATCCTGAGAAAAGTAAGTTACTTAAGTTCACTGAAATTGTTAGAGCAGTCTATTGTTATAAATAAAAAATAGAAAATGAAAAACCAAGTTTATCTTTACCAAATTTGAAAGAAGCAAGGCAGTAGCTTGTGAACAAGTTTCACGAAAAGATGACTTGTCTAGTTTTTCACCTTTCTCTGCGGTATTTATAAACTTCTGAAGGAGCTTTACAAATTTTGCAAGCAATACTTCACTAAAGGGTAGCTGTTTGGGTTGTGCAGAGGAATCAGGGTCAGAATTCAGACCACTATTTGTAAGAGCAAGTTCACCCATGGTCTCATATAACCTTTTCATGCCAGCAATTTCTCCAGCATGGTTACACTTCGCTGTGGCACTGACCATGCCAGTACCAAGAACCTCCAAGTTAAATGCATCAGTTAATTTCAAGTTTCCACCTGAAGCTGCAGCAGCAGCAGCCATGACTGCAGGAATATTCGCAGTTTTTGTACCAGTCCAACATTCATTTTTCCCAGTACCAATTCTAATCTCAGACAACAGTGAGACCACATCTGCTGTTGGCTGCGTTCTCTGTGATGAATTAGCTTTGCAAAGGTTTTCCTGAACACCATCGTTATGTTTGTTACATTCTTGCAAACTTTGCCCACCAATAACATCTCCAAGCATGCAATAGTTCAAAAATCATCTCTTACAAATGCACAAACATCTATTAATTACCCAACCATTACATCTATTTAAAATAATTTATATAAAGTGAACGCCACCATAACCTTAACCCCCCCCCCCCTGCCCTCTCTCTCTCTCTCTATATATATATAGCATCATGCTCCATAAACTAGTTGCATGCTGCACATAAAAACTACATACTTCTCTAACAAAATTAGTAATATTTCCTTTGCAAGCATCAAAATTTTAGTCTCCTAACACTTCTTTAGGTTGATCTTTAGACCACAAAAATGGTAGAGATGAAGAGGAATTTGAATGTGGAGAAGAACAGATTAAATATACTAAAAACATTATAGGAAATATCATCAACAGAATTTAGCTGTTAAAAAAAAAAAAAAAAAAAAAAAGCAAAAAGAAAGAAAGATTACAAAATCATTGAAAAAGCAAGAGAATGTCACTCCCTTTTAATGCGAGAATACAAGGACCACTTTTTTTGCATATATATACAAGCCTATCTCATTATCAGAGGAATACAAACCCATGATGGGTTCCATATTGAAAAACTGAAATGGCTTTTTGTTCATAAATAAAACATTTGAATTAAACATATTCACATCAGATGGCATGGCATGCCTCAAAAGCATTCAAAAGTGACTTTCTCAAAAGATAGGCCAGCATTCAGGATGAAGAACAATTTCTTACACAATTTAACAGTCAGATAATTGTGTGAAGTCCCAACGCAATACAAAATGTTGTTGAGTATTGTAGTAATGTTTTATACATCCAACAGATAGGCTAAGAAACAATGATAGGCTAAGAACCCCAGCAAAAACAGAAACAAGATCATCCATCATTGAAATATGAACTTTGTGACTAAGAAAGCTATATATGCATGCCCATGAGTCAAGCAATATACATAGAAGAGATCAAAAGTAACAACACAAGACACATCCAACAAAGAAGTGAACCTGAAGAAGACCCTGAGTAGTGCACGGAGCATGTGAAAGTGAAACAATGATCCACTCTCTAACAATTTTCTGGTACAAAGCGCGGACATTGGCAAGATAAGCAGGATCACTCACTACAGCGGAAGGTGGATCATTATGCATTGAGAGTTGCAGGGAATCCAGACAAGACGAATTCCACAAGATCTTCAATCATGCAAATCAATTGCAGTAACTCTTAGAATATGCAGCAAGAAAAACAAGAGAATGACAGCACAGTCATAGTGCATTTTTACCTGTGGAAATTTATCTCTGAGTTGAGTTAACAAACTAAGAGAGAGATCCCGTACATGTTCATCCCTCTGAGATAAATTTTTTATCAGAAAACAGGCATGGATTGAGAGTGTGGACTCCCTAACCACTGCTTCTGAACCTGTATCAGCAGCCCTATCCTCCTGCATGCAAATTGCAAGGACTGTAGAATATGGGGAAAGCACCTCCAATGAAGGTTATTGATTAATTTATTTTAAACCTTTAAGATTGTGCGTAGATGCAGTGGAAACAAAGATGATCTTATGTGTCTTAGAAGACCCATGTACATTATAATGCAAACAAACTCAGCTCTCTGATATGAAGCTTTAATGCCCCGGGGACATAGTCTACTATTTTAGTCATTTAAGGTAACACAATTCAGGAACAAAGAAAAATGATAGAAATAAATATGCTGAAGAGAACAGCATTTCAGTTCCAGTCTACAACACTGCACATAATTTCTTTGGACAGACACTAAACCATAATACATGTAAGCAACAGAATATGAAATGGACACAGATGCAGCCTAGAGTAGAGAATGATACATGCAAATTTAAACCAAACAGGTTTATGCAGTACAGGGGAAGAAATACGCTAGAAATCCTTGACAGTCTTTGACAAATATAACTAGGACACCAGGAATATGCATAGTGAACTGAATCATCACTTACAAAAGCAGATATCTGTAACCAGGAATAAATTCTGCCAGAACCCAAAGTAAAGCTTTTTAAAGTTACGACATAGAATTGACCTCATTCAGAACTTGTCAAGGACCAAGTAGATAATGGAAATTCTTAATCAAGTAATAACAAGAAATTATCCCTCATACATAGACTTTTTCTAGAGGATCACTAAATCGTAAAAGCATAATATTGAACAAAAATACACAAGAAATCAGCATCCATGTTATACCACACATTTCAAAGATATAAACAGGAGTATAAGGTAAGATGATGCTTGAATACCAGCCAAGTTATTGCGGTTTCAAAAGCCCGATGGACAATAGCAGTCAAGCACTGGGAGACAGCTGGCATTAAATTTGGACTTCTCAGGTACTCAAAGACACAATTGAAAGCACTTCTAGAAGCAGTAGAACTTTCCCCTCCATTCAGAAGACCACCATTGCTGCTAAATCTGATTATCTCCAAAAATGCTACAGCCAACAGATAGGTTGCTTTGACACCTGAACAAAGTCAGACATATTGAATAAAAAAGGAAATGACATGAGCAAGGACTTCTGATTTACTTCATATACAGACCATCTTATGAAATGAATATATAATTAGACCTGAAATTGTACTCATAGCAGAAACTTCCACTCGCCCTCCAAAGGCAGCAGAAAGAGCAGTCTTTTGAGTCAAAGCAGCTTTTTCATTTCCGCTTCCTCGCCGACTACCTGGGTTGTGAAGAGCATTGAGCTCCAACTCATCTTCAAGCCATTTCACAGAGCTCACAACCTGCAGTTTCATTTCTACTCTCAAAACATAATAAAGAGCTTATGATGATAAAGTGGAGAGAGAAACCTTCCAATGAAGCTTTAAACAATCAATAATTGTACAAACCAAGCAAAGGTAAATCTAAATAATAGAATGAAACCAGTTTACCATAGTTGATGCAATATGAATGTTGAGTTTTTGGAAAAATCTAGATGGATAAAGCAAATTGCCTCATTCTTTGTCAATGTGGAAAATGAATTAGGATCTTCAATTCAAAAAGAAAAGGATCTCACCAAAGCACTAAGCAGCACAACAAACTTTTTGTCTGCAGACATAATATTTAGTTTTTAAGAATTGAATAGCATAGATTGAAATATTTGTTAAAATAGAGGTAGTATTGATCCCCACAGGAGGCATTTTCTAAGCTGCTGTAATCTGAAAACCAAAAATTGTAGCTGAAGACATTGCATTAATTCTACAACAACATGACAAGCAAGACCACACATGTTATCCTTCATTTAAATCCCTTACTTCTTTCACACCAAATTCTTAAATTGAAGAATTTAATGTGTAAGGTACCATTTTCCCAATCATCAAACAATTAAAAAAAAAAAAAAAGGAAAAGATAAGACAGACTAACATACAATTTGAATGTCAATCATCAAAAGAGAAAATCTGAAAGAGCCAAAAACAATAGTCATCAACATTATCTTTATGATTAGAACTCCCCATTAAATATATAACAAAGTCGAGCCCACTATGGTTTTGGGTAAATTAACTTGAAATATTTCAGAAGTCTATGCTGTCACCATTCACATCATAAAGACAAACTTGACATGTAGTGCAATACATATCAATGAGATACCGGCAAAAACCAATAAGACTTGTTACAGGTAATTTCAGAATGATGAAGAGTGAGCAGACATATTTATTAGTGATTACTCAAAATGCCATATATATCCAATCACTTTTGTGAAACACTTCAAGCATAGAAATAGCTCCTACAGCGATCACCGAAGAAAATTATAGATCTTAAAGTGTACTTAGTATTAACTTACAAGAGGAGGAGTCCCCTTTGATATGCACTGCACAGCAGACGCCCATGATGAATCCCACATGTATGGTCCAGTCACAGCTTGGAGTACAAGTGTGCCCGTAGTACCTCCACTTGTGCTGCCTGCAATATTAGATGTTGACGAAACTGGTTTTGTATTGGGCCCAGCTTTCTGTATTGGAGGTGCTAATCCAAAGAGAGCAATATAGAACCACAAATTTCGAAATAGCTTCAAGAGAGATGGCTCCACATCCGTGCTGGGCTCAAAGTCGGAACATATTTCAGCCACGGCAGGCAGAAGAGGCCCAAGAAAATCTGCCCCACTCCTGAAATTTAAATTCTATAAGAAATATTTGTATAATGATCATAATGATGATGAGCAAGGCAGCAAACAAATGCTCAGCATTTCCTATTCCACAAGAAAAAACCATAATGCATAAACTGTTGAGGAACTTTACCTTCCACTTTTTGACTCTGCAGCCAAACCCACATCTGAGCACAATGACAACAAACGATGTCGGTATTCTGAACGCAACTTATTACTTGAAATGCCTTTGGCAATTAATAAAAATCCTGCAGGTAATGTCTACAGTGAAATTGAACCAATAAGCATCCACTAGATATGCAAAACAACTTCTCTTGCAAATTTATCACTTAAATCAATGAATAAATTATAACATACTTCAACACGTTCAGTTGCAGCTTCTGGTGCCTGGGCATTACTTTCCTCAGAGCCAATACTGGAAAGTTTGCCCAAGTAACTTCGGGTCATTAAGACTACAGCTTCACGGTAGGACTTATCAAAACCTAAACTCGCCAAGCGAGAAACAGCATCAAGAAGCTGCAGTAACTCAAGAAAAGCAGGTTGAGAAATTGTGGAAAACATAATTCTCCAAATAATTAATAGAAAATGTTATGTCTTCTTTTTATGATTGCGCTCTTTCTACAAGGGAAAGAAAAACAGTTAAAAAAAAAAAGAAAAAGCAAACTAACAATAGCACACATTAAAGGATGGGATCATACTCGGAGTCTCAACAACCCTGGAATTGAACCATCACCCTCTTCTAAACTCTCAATAAATAGGGGTAATATCATGTCAACAACTTCAGGCTTGTTAATAGAAACATTTACGTCGGCTAACAGCCGTATGACATTTAGCTGTACAGGTGGAGCTTCCTGCTTCTCTTTTCCATCCTGAAAAACATTCTAAATATTAGATCACATGTCCATAACAAATACTTTAACAGCAAGACCTCAGCATTTACATGTTAGGCAGAAACCTTGTAATGTAAAAGCATCTAATTGTTTGATATTTCAAGTATTTCCATAATGGACTTACCATCAAAGGTAAATTTTAGATCTACTAATGGCCTGATATGGTTTCCCTCCCCTTCAGTTCAATATCAAACATTTAATATTGTCTCGAGAGAACCACTATTATGATAAAAATAGAGCTTCAGCCTTTCATGATCCATACAAAAGTATCTAATCCAAGACAAATCCTATAGGAAAAACAGCATTGCTCTTTAAAACAAACATCAGCTACATTATTTGTTGACATCCTCTGGTAAAGTATAAACTGAAATAAAAAGCAGTCTTAAATAATAAGCAGATCAGCACATCCTGCTGATAGCAGATTTACCCTAAAAGAGAATCAATTTATGAATTGTGCATGACTTTGTCAAACTAAAAGGTCAGGAAAAAAGAAAGTGTGAAAGCATTTCAAGTCAACATGCAATACAGTTCAACAAATCAATTTAGTGAAGCTCGGATTACTTAATATTGATAGCACCGATTCAATACTGTCCCAGTTTGGGCCACATCTACATCAGAAAGTCCTTAATTTCCAGATAAAACATTTAAATGTGGGTTGCAAGGAAGTGGTTGCAATCAGCTCCCTAGAAAGGGTTTGAACATTTTGCAAGTTAGGGAAACCGTGGTGCAAATGCATATTCAAGAGATGAAGTGACAGGAAAATTAAATAAATAAACTACAATAGTAGCCATGAACCATAGAATACTGCAATAAAGAAATATATAAGATACTATTAGAATATGCAAGGCAATAGTATGAATACCTCTTCCTCAAAATCATTCCTTTCACGGATACTGGTCGCCAGTCCCATGATAAAAGTATCCACAGGTGACCGGTCCTTGGCCCATCCAAATTCGATTATTTCACAACATGTTTTGAGGACACTTTCAAACATGCATCCCTGGCTTTTGGCCCAAGTTTCAGCCTGCACATAGTGGTTTAAAGAGTAACTATCTATCACCACAACCATCATGGAGTGTCGACATCACGACTGATCCAATAGAAGAACAAATTTTACTTGGGCACAAGTAGCAAGCACAAGGGGCTTAAAACGAATTAGCAGAACTCTGAGAAGCTGGCCGCCACGAATAACTGCTGCTTGAGATATCCCAGAAAGCAAACAACCAAAAAGCTCTTCACAAGCTCTCAATTTCCGCCATGCTGAGAACAAGCATCCTTCTGCAGCCTCTATCAACAACGCAAGGGCTCCGTGCAACAACCTCTTCGATGACTTCCCTTCCGTGTCGAGAGATGCCAGAGTCTTAATATGCAATCTTGCAGCAGCATGGTAAACTGACAACTTATTATCAATCCTAGCTTTCAGCACCTGCCCTTGCTCCGACCAATCCCGCTTTCTTATCTGTCCACGCAAACAAAACCAAAATATAACATTCATCAATACCTTTTCTTTCCTCAATTTTACCACTTCTGATTATCTCGCATATGCAGTGCTGTTTACACTAACTAAGCTACTTACCTTTAGAAATAAAAGCATTAAACGAAGCTGATTCTTAGCAATAATTCTCACTTGCTCCATAAGCTTGGGATCGATGTCCACCTTACTAAATACATTCCCGATTAGCTTAAAAGCAATTTCTTGTTTCTCAAGACTCTCCATCGATTCTTCCTCAAACAATGTCACGGCCCTCTTACCAGTTGCAGGGCTGGCTGCACCACCTCCGTCAACATCATAGATTCCGGTACTGGAACCAAATAAATCCCCATTGCTCTTCCACGTAATGCTTCCACTCCCGTCCGCCGCCATATCCTGAGACGATGACGGATTTGAACCTGCTCTGCTGCCATCAGGATTCGCACTCAGTGAGGAGCCCTGAACCGAACTCGGAACCGCAATTTCAAACCGATCAAGAAGAACGGTTATCAATTTGTTGACGTCGGACTGAATAATAGGAGGGAAATTTGAACACAGAGCATTCAAAAAAATCCTGGAAACAACAGGATTAGCACTGTTTGTCGTCTGAATCACAATTTCCCCTGTGAATCCAGCCACATCGGAAGCAAAATCTTGAGACTGTTCCGACGCTTTCAAAATATAACTCAGGAAATCATTGAAGAACGAAGAAATCGCCTCGGACGAAAATGCCTGCGGCCAGAAAGTCGGATTAAACGATGCAGGAATTGAGCGGTAAAAAGCGAGGAGCAGAGACTTGGCGACATCGTTGTCAAAATTCCAGGATTTGGAAAGCAAACGCGCGACCGCTAGTATGGCATGTAGCTGAGACCTAGAAACCCTCGGCGATTCGGATTGCAGACTCTCCGCCGACGGGCAACGGCTGCATATCCAACCGATTTTCCCTGCATATCTTACCGGATTCTGTGCGATCAAATCGCAGAGCTCCACCAACGATTCCATTGCTTCAATTGCAAGCTCCGAACCGTGAGGAATCGCCCCCTAGTCTCAATCAAATTCAAATTAAATTGACAGTGATCGGAGAATGCATGTGGCGACGAATGAATGGCGTTGCGGTGATTCTGAAAACGAAATGCATGAATTTAGGGTTGGCGAGAAGCGTCAGAAAGTGATAGATGCAATGACTGTGATGGAACGCCGCCGTGGGATGGCTGCCGATGGTGGTCCTCCTCCGCCTGAGCGATGATGTGGTTGAGGGCACAGGCACACATTACCGCGCAATCCGTGTTTTCAGATCTTTTTTTGGTTTTCTTTTTATAACTTAAATTTAACTCTGCCTTTTCTATTTTTTTTGGTTTATATATTTCCTCTTTTTTTAATTTATGGGTCGACCATTTATTTTATAAAGTATATTTCCCAAAAATAGGAAAATGCTCTCGTTCAACTTACCTCCTATCTTATAAACCATTTTTACTTTTATTTAAAATGAAAATAAATATGATATTTGAAGGGAATTATATTAATTATATATTCGTGATATTTTATTTTGTATATAAATTTGAACATATAGATTTTTTATTTAAAATCAATTTTGCTCCCATTTGTAGTATTGTTTTGTTGAATTATACCTACTGCACCATTTGAAATGAAATTTAAGAATGTTATCTTCGATTTGATGTTGGTTGAATTTTTTAAAAAATGCACAAAATAAAAGTTGATTGGCTATGTTTGATAGTTTTGGTAGAATCGGATTGAACCAAGTTATACGAGTTCATAGTGGTTGAGTTGATTGGTCTCCTCTAAGTAAAATAATTAATTAAAATTAAGGTAAATTATATAACATATCTTCGTATTTTACTAAAAATGCACAAAATATCCTGTATTTTATTTATTGCGTAAAACCCCTTATGTTAATGGAAAGTTTGCATGAAACACTCTCTATGTCCAAAACTGATGTTTGGTTCAAAATAAAACCTAAATTACGTAAGTTTTATACAAATAAAAAACGTAAAATATCTTAAATAATTTTTTTTTTCATAAAATAAATAAATAAATAATTGATCAATCATTTATTTTTTTACTTTTTATAAAAATCAGGTAACTCTCCAAAAACTATAAATGAATGATTAATAATTAATATGGCCGTATTTGTTCTAGATCACTTGCTATGTCAGTTTTCGTTATGCCACGTCAGCCAATTCTATTAAAAATTTAACTGTAGAACTAAAAATGATAATTTATTTTTTATTGTATGGAACTAATTTTGATAATAATTTTTGAATGGTACCAAAAATGAAAAAAATAGAATTATTTGGTACTAATTTTGATATTTGCTCTAAAATTTTGAAATATATCAGCCTGCAAATTATATGTTTATATACGAGTTTTAATGAATATATATTATATTAGTTGAATATAGTATAAAATTAAGATATTTTTAGAATTAAAGTTGATGAAGTAAGACAAAATTTCGGATAAATAAAATATAAAATAATGACATATTTTTAAGGAAATATAATATTAAAAATTATAAATTAATTTGTGCTTAGTTTTTGTTTTTTTTTTGGTTACAAATTAAAAAATGTATATTTTTGTGAATAAATAAAATAAAAATAAGAACCAGTGTATACTCGTATGGGTGGAAACAATATTAATTTATATATAAATGATAAAATAAAATTTAAATATAAAATATCATTATTATTATTAAAATATAATATTTAATAAAATTCATAAAAATATATATATAATTTTAAAATAGACCAAAACAAGTATTTTAAATATAAATTTAATTTGAAAATAAAAATAAATAAATTGTAGTATTTATTTTGGATTTTATTAATTGAACATTATATTATTAAAAAGTACCTTTTTCCTTTTAGAAAATATTAATGTAAAAAAGATAGTATGTGTTTTTTTATTTGGTATGAAATAATTTATTTGAATTTGGTATTAAAATAATATATAATAGAATATTTTGTAAAAAAAATATATTTTTTTTTCGAAAATGTATAATTAAATAATAGAAATATGGATTTTAATATATAAACAAAAAATAGACTCATGTAAAATTTAAACTCTATTTAGAAAATAATAAAGGGTGTTTTTGTCTGTGATTTTAGTTTTTGGGTTTAAATTTTTAATAGTAAAAAGTTGAATTTGAATTGTTGTTTGATTTGATATAAATAAAAATTGATGTGATATTTTAAATATAAAATAAATTTATAGTATAATATATATATAAATAATTATTTGATGTGATATTTTCGAAGGGAAAAAAATCTGAATAGTAACAATATGCGGTAAAACCCAAGTAAATGCCGCATGTGTAATTCCAAACTCGATACTCAATTTTAAGTTTTGTCAGGAATTTGTTTTTTCTTTTTCTTTTTTTAATTGAAATAAATATGATTTATTATAATTTCAGTAAAAATATATTATTTTTTAAAAATATTACTATATTAAAATGTTATTTAAAATAAAATTTTTAATTAATATTTTGTTTCAAATTAATTGTATTTAACAATCAAACAAAACAAAGAACACTTCTGGAATTTTTAACAGCATATGTTACAATCCCTTCATTTCAATAATATTATTTTCATAAATAACTATATCACCATAAAATTGCTCTTATCTTTTTATTTTTATTACATAATTGTCACTATTTTTTACACCAATACACTCACTCGTAAGGGCAAAAAACTCTTTTACCTATACTTTTTACCGATTATTAATATAATATTAATATTCTTTCAATTTCATATCCAACCCAATTAAAACTATAATTCTGGGATCAATTAAATCTTGCACCCAGTTTGGGGACGTACCACGAAAATGTACTGTGTTGTGTGGAATAACATATTGACAAATTAATTAATTAATTAATTAATTAATTAATTTGAGTAATGCCTAATCTTTCTACCTGTTGCAATCATTTCAGTCAACAAATGGGTTGGGACAAATCACATTTTGGTTTTATTATCCCATTAAAACATAGTAATAAATAAATATATATATATATTTTTATATATTTTTTTTACATTATTGTATAAATATTTTTAAATTATTTTATTAAAATGCTTTGAATAGATGATAATCATATATTGTTTTTATTTATATGCAAGGACGGGTGGTACTAAATGGAGATTAGGGGCAGCTATAATTTTTATTATTTTGTCTTTTTTTTAGTTTTTGTACAGCGTAAAAAATAATATAATTTATATAATTTTTGTTGATTTATTTTTTAGATTTTATTTTTTTAATGAAAAAAATATTGAATTTTATATCATTTTATTAATTTTTTCTCAAAATATTTAACTTTTACCCCTTTTTTCTCTCCTTATTTACCTGATAGCACCAAAAGAAATCTAAAAAAATAAAATTGAATAAAAAATAAAAATAAACTGACATTTTATACCCAGGAGTTTTACGACCGGTTCCCCGTCATTGTATCATCGAGTAAAAATTCATATTTTGTTGCTTGTATTGTATGTATTTAATTAGATGTATATTATTCACTGAAAATATCAATTATATGTGGGGTGTGTTCTTTTAGTAAATATTATATCAACACATATTTATATCACATCTTATAATTATTTCAATTCAAAATTTTACCGTGCGAATTCAACTCAAAATACAAATCATCAAACAAATACACCCTAAGATATGTTCTATATATATATATATATTAGTAGATTAAATAGTACAAAGTTTTTATAGTATTTATGATATTTTTATTTTAAGTATAAACTAATATTATTTCATTTGTATTTCTTGAAAAAATATAAAACTTTAAAAATATTTTATTAAAATAATATACTATTTAAAATAAAATCCCAAAAAAAAAAAAACAGTTTCAAACAAAAAAAAAAAATTATCAATACATGACGTGTGTGATTATTTTGTGAAATAATTGAAAATAAATAAATATATAAAGTATAGTGGAATATGTAGATAATATAACAATAATAAATGTATGTAGTCTATTAATTTTTTTTGAAAAATTATATAAAGAAAAAGATTGAAAAAAACAAAGTCTCGAGTTCTTGTAAACAGAAATTATTTTCTCACAAATATTAATTTATATTTAATCACTATTCAGATAAAAATAATTATCAATTTAAAATACATCAGTTTATGTTTTGTTTTGTTTTTAATATACAAAATTATAATTCTATATTTAAACAAAAAAGTCAAATTTTTAGACATTACATGACATCTAATATCTATTTCATCCAAAAATCAAAACAAAGACATAAAATTAAATAAATATAAAGTAAACAAATCCAGGGCTGTGTTAACTAAAAAAAACAGTAGAAAAGTAATAAATATTATGTTCTTTTAAGTACTATTTTTTAATTTTGGTACCCAAATAATAATAATAATAACAAATACAAAATATTTTATACAAAAGTAAAAAAATTAAAATACTCATTATAAAAAAAAAAATCATTACAAAAAATATAAAAGCTACACATTTAATTAAATATATATATATTTTTACAATTTTTTATATTACACATTAAAAATTATTTCATCCGAAAATATTGCGTGAACAGACTCAAAAGTTTCATATCAAATGTTTTCATCCTAATTTATTTTTTTCCCATTTTGTCTTTTATAATCACACTATTTAGTAATTATTTTAATATATCTATCTTTACTTAAGTCATAATTTTAATTTTACAAATTTAAAAAATTTGAATTTATTCATTTTTTTATAAAGTTTATTTTATTTGTAGATCTACAATTGTATTCAAGTACATGCAAAATTATATATACATGCTTTTAAATATTTTAAATAAAAACTATAATTTAATATAATATTTTAAGTACAAGTGAAGAATTATAAGGTAAAATTGTGTATTATAAGAAATTTATTAAAGAATTAATAAAATATAAAGAGATAAAAAAAAGAGTAAATTCATTATTATTTATTAAAATATAAATAATAAATTATGAAGAAATAAAATTATTATTATAAATATTATATATATATATATTTAATAGATAGCTGAGAAAGAAGATATTGACTTAAGTTTAACGGATAGTATTGAAAAAATCAAAAATAAAAAATCAAACCAAATCAAATAGTGTGTTTTCTTATAATTAAAAAAATATATTATTTTTAAAAAAAATTAATATACTCCCCCCGTCCATAAACTAATGTCCTACTTTTCTATTTGGGACGTTCAACAACTATTGTCCTATTTTTTTTTTAAACATAAATTTTACATTTTTACCATTCATTCATTTATTACTTTTAATTTCTACCATACAATTAATGATAAATT